GGTGGAGCTTAACAACATTCTTATGAGGGGCGGAGCTTAACATTCTTATGAGGGGCGGGGCTTAACGGAACATTCTGGTGAGGGGGCAGAGCTTAACAGAATATTCCTGAAAAGTTACACAGTTCAGTCACAAAACATTTTGACACATTGGGCAGGAGCCACAAAGTGTTACATTCCTGGAACAAAACATTCTATGGGGAAAAAGCATGGAGACAAGGCAAGGGACTGTCTTATTGGACAATATTGCCATGTCAGAACCACTGTGTAGGCTTGTGAGCTGTGTATGGTGCATTTTGGTGCAGAAAACAAGGAGAGTCTTTTCACGTGGCTCTGGGGATGGTTCATTTGCAAACATCTAGAGATATTTAGCCTTTTTAAAAAACTCTTATAGAGTTCCCAGACCTAGTTAAGGGGATCTAGCCCTTATATCAGAGTCGAGGAATTGTTATCTGAAGTATGTCAAGCGGCTCTGCTGATTGCTTCAAATCGAAGGGACAGCAGATGCACAAGAGGGAATTTCTCTGAATTTTATGGGTCTGATTTAAGCAGATCCTGTGGATGCAAAGCACTTTTCATCATTCCCTTCCCAAAAATACTTAGCTAGCAGTGATCATCATTGTACCATAAGAGAAACAGACTGAAATTTTACATGTAGCTCTTACAGGCTATTACCTATTTCTCTGAGGACATGATCCCCTCTCAACCAGCTTGACCTCCCCACCCTTTTGACTCTTTCCATTATTTCCCTCCCATGACAATAAAACTTTTATGTTATCCTGGGATTGGGGAGGGGGGTTCATGATCCTTCAAACGTTTGTATGAATGGTAAATATATATATATTTTTTTCATGTATTGTCTTCTGTGGATTTGTCTATGATTTCTTTCCAGGATCCATAATATTGGAATATATCAAAGAAGGATATCATGTCACAACTGGGGCCTGTTTTTTTCCATACCCACATTAACAGGTTGTTGCTCTATGAACGCTGAACCCTGCCCAAAGCTTCCTATTGGGTAGAGCCAGTCAATTGTATGTCATCAGCCTCAGGGTAATATGTACTCCAGAGGCTTTGTGTTGGTTTGTATCTTTTGGGCAGCCCAAGCTGTCGCCATCCCCAAGTAATTTTGCATCATGTGAGCCGATAAAGTGTGCCAGATGCTCCAATGATCCCCATGTCTGGGCATCCAGAGATGTGGCCTATGTCCAAGCACAGGCTTATTCCTGAACACAATGGTGGAAGGGGAAACCAAACTATTGAAATTTGTGCTGAGGCAGGCAGCAAAGGCTCAATCTCTGTTCTTTCAGATTGAGTCACCTCTGAAACCCACTTAGAACAAGACTGGTTCCTCACCCCAGAGGGCAAGTCAACCAACCACAGTGCCCTTTGTATTCTGAGCTCCCCCCGCTTAAATTTCTCAGGGGATATGTGACTAGTCATCCCCTTCTCCAAAACTGTCTCATATTGCTGTCTTCCACCAGTCACTATGCCAGGTGTTCTCAGGAACCCTGGAGTGTGTCTGTCTCATGATTTCCAATGACTGGAGATCAGTCTCAAAAAATAAGCCTCCAGGATGAGTGCTTTGATTAAATAACCTATGTTGAACTTCAGGAGGAAGAAGGCCAAAACTTTTGGAGCAATATAAGAAAGAAAGCAAAAAAGCACTTACATGGAAAAGAAACAGAATACTGGCTCAATGAAGAGCAATAAAAATAGGAATGGCAAAAACCAGTTTAACAGAGGTGGTGGCCATAGGGGACGTGGAGGATGCAATATGCTTGGTGGAAACTTCAGAGGGGAGCTCCCGGGAACTGTAGTGGATATAATAGGAAGGGCAGTATGCCTCAGCAAGGTGGTGGCAGTGGAGGGAGTGGTGGAATATGTTATCCATACCCTCGTGGCTCTGTTTTCCTGGCCGAGGTGGCTATTCAAACAGAGGGAACTACAACAGAGGTGGAATGCTTAACAGAGGGAATTATAACCAGAACTTCAGAGGATGAGGACACAATCATGGCTATAAAACTCAATCTCAGGGCTACCTCCAGTGGCAGCAGGGTGAATTCTGGGGTCAGAAGCCATGAAGTCAGCATTATCACCAAGATATTATTGAATACCCAAATAAAACAAACTGATACATATTTCTCCAAAACTTTCACAGGAAGTCAACTGTTTTCTTTAATAGGCTAACTTTTTAAACATTCCACAAGAGGAAGTGCCTAGAAGCTTTGTGGGTTGATTTTTTTCTTTTCTTTTTTGTACTTTTTTTTTTCTTTTTCTTTTTGGTACCGGGGATCAAACTCAGGACCTTATGCTTTCAAGGCAGGTGGTAGAACCACTGAGCTAAATCCCTGGCCCTTTTTTGTACATTTTTAATTGCAGTTTTACAGTGAATTATAAGAGAGCCTCAGCATTGTGCACAATGAGAGAATGTGTCAGTATTTCAGAGTTCTACATTTCATCTGTAAAATGTGACTTTTTAATCACAACAACAGTAAAATGTTGCTTTGTAAAAAAATAAAAAATAAGCCTCCACTAAAAAGGCTTCTAGTCATATCACTCCAAGATATGGTGGTCTGTGCAGTGAATTTCTCATCCAATGTTAGTTTGTCATGTGAGAGAAGTCATTTTCAGAATAAATCTCCAGACTGGATTTACAGCTTGCAATAATCTTGCATTTTTCCATCAGCTAGCCACACAGATCTGGGTTTTTGCTTGTTTGTTTGTCTGTTTGTTTTTGGTACCAGGGATCGAACTTGGGTCCTTGTGCTTGCAAAGTAGGAAGTGTAACCACTGAGCTAAATCCCCGGCCCTAGATCTGTTTTTTATTGCCTGTGCTGCTGGCCCTTTCTGGCCACCTCTCTGGAGCTAGTGTCGGTAATGTGGACTGCTTTGTTATTTTCTGCCTTTCTATTTCTTGGTGATTTTTTTGCTTTCCTGTCACCTCTTTCTTGATTCCCAGAGCTCCCCTTCTCTTTCTCCTCTAGGAGTGGCTATTTTATGGCTATCTCAATTCCAAGTCACAGAGAGGCTGTAACTGCTGCCTACACCTACTTGCCTACATCACACCACAGTATTTATTACCCAGGGTTTTGACATAGCTGTATGCCTGTATCATTGCACTGCAAGATATTTCAGTGGTCACCCACACCCTACAATTTCTTGCTTTGATCTCCCTTGGTGAGAATAATTAGTGTAGAAACATTCAACAATAACCAGAACACTGTGTCAACCAATCCTGATTTTCAGACAGTTTTCTGCAATTTCAACTGGATTAATAAAGAACTGCGTCTCCCCCAGCAATAAGACACAGAAAGAATAAGGAATAGAAATTGATAAAAAGAAGAGGACTGAGACAATTATTGATTTTAATAAAGGGCTGGGATCAACAAATGCTTGTTGGACTGATAATATGACAATTCACAAGAAAAGAATTATTCTTTTTAATTTTATCAAAAGTATATAACCAGGTCATTTTTTTTCCTATGTAATTCCAACAGTTCTACAAATTTATACTCATCTAAAAGATCCTGACAATTGTTCATGAGAAATTCTGCCTGCTGGTAGAGCACACTGACATTAAAGAAATATAGAAAAGCCAGTGGCATCAATGTTTGTTAACCAATCACAGAGCATCTGTGGCAAAGAAAGAGCTACTGTGTGTCATAAATAACATCTAGCTGTACATTAGATTGCGTGCAGTAGGCATGGGCAACTCCTTTCTCATAGGAGGCAGAGAGGTCACCATTATTGGTCAGTTGGAGATTCCAATCATGTTATCTTGAAACATTTCAATGCATAATCATTTTATCACCACTTCTATAGATCAAGCAATTTCATCATAAACTCCTGCCTTCTCCCTTTGCACTGGGACCGGGATCAGAATGTCGAACATGCTACATCTCTTCTTTTCCTATATCATTAATTGTTTCCACATCATTAAATTTTCATGCTCTAGTTTTCTAAATTATCATTTTTACATCTCTGTAATTGATGTATTCCACAGAAGCTCAAAGAACAACTCTTAGATTATCTCCTATATCCACTAAAAAGCCCTTGACCTGAGTATAAGGCAGACTTTTTCTTGTGCTAAGGATATAGTCTAAGGTATTTTTCTAGTGAAAATGGTAGAGTGTGATTTAATGGACAAGAGTTAAGACAAGTACTGACCTTGTTAAAGTATCTCTCTTGCTCTCTCACTTGGCTACACAGTTTAATATGATGTCCTGATCAATTTTTACTCCATTTACTCATTTGGGAAACTCCTTTCCACTGAAGAGGGCAGAGTTCAGTTAGGGACTCTATTCAGGGGCTGCACGGTCCCATACAGGACTGGAAGAAGAATTAGAAGTCAATGTATTTCCACAAAGCAACTGGGTTAAACCTGCCTTTTAAAGACACCCAATTAAAAGTTTAAAATAAACCAAATTCACTCAACTGTCTTTGCAAATCATTGTAGACTGGCTTTTTGAAGAAACTTTCAATAAGATTTTCCATGAGGCAAATGAAGGTTAATAATAGGTGGAAAAACTCCTTTACCCAGAAGTAGAGAACACAAGGACACATATAGCAGATGGCTTTGTGGAAAGCTTTGTTATGTTATTGCTCAAAATTACACCCATTTTCTTTGCTTAGTAAGAGTATAAAATGAAAAGTTGTAAACTTCTCTCTTTGATGGAATGTGTGGCAGATATTATAGGACAGATTTGGAAAGTCAAGAAACCATATAATCCATATTTTTAAGTAAAATTTTATATCCAAGGGAAGGACATTCAAATCTGATTACATATTATATCCTATAAAAAATAATGTCTTAAGACTATTCAGAAGTATTTTATTCTGCCACAACCTTATGTAGTTGGTAATGGCTTATTATCCCACAATAATCAGGGTTAATACTTAGCCATAGAATTTCATTATTGCAAAATTGAGATGCTTGGTATGCATGAGCTTAGCTAATTTTCAACTTTATTAAAACTTGAAAATATGTCTTGCTTCTTCTGTCATTTTCTGAATAATAGGAAACTTCCTCTCTGGCTGCCAGTCTGCCAAAACTTCTTCACATTGGGCAAGTTGCTGGTTTTGGTTTTTAGGGCCTGCAACACACAATTTATAGCCTTAGAGGGTATCTTAAAGTTCAATCCAACTATTAGAAAACCCTAAAAATCTCCTCCCACCCCCAGAAAAAGACACCTGAGTGGCTATATCATTATCAATGTGATTCTTTAAACAGAAACTCAGCAATAAGGAATTTAAAAGGGAGAGTGCATAACTCAATAATATCCTCCTTAAACACTTCTTTTGAAATATATATATATATATATTTGGGGGTGGGTACCAGAGATGAAACTCAGGATCTTGCGCTTGCAAGGCAGGTGTGGCACTACTGAGCTAAATCCTCAGACCTCTTTTAAATTTTTATTAGGGACATAGTCCTCTCTATTTTCTTAGGCATAATCTCTTGATCCAGTTTGCCTTACAACACAAAGAACAATGGGTCTGTCCAATATAAGCAGAGATATACTTAAAAACAAAAATATAGAGGTAGAAAACCCAAGTTGGAAATGAAGACAGAAAATATGAATCAAGGACCAGACACAATCAACTTCCACTCTCTACCACTGAGGTGGGTGGGTGGGTGGTGGCCAGCTGTACGGGATAGGAAGCTATGGAGACAGGAAGATAATGTCTCACAATGGAAGCCAGAGTTGAGGGAAGGAGATAGAATGGACAGAAACCTGCTCAGATGAACTCAGTGTGCAAAGAGAAAGATATAAGGGATAAAGAGGATCCCACATATATCAGAAATGAGGCCCACAAGGGAACGGGGGACCAGTGAGAGATGTGGGGCCCTAAGTCCTAATCCTTTAAAAAGTAAATATTCTTGGAATAGTATGCAGTTCTTAGTTCCTTGCACAAAAAGATTATCTTCATGCCTCAAATCCAAGGTCTAGAAGATCACTTTGGAGGCATGGGGAAAAGGGTTGAAGACGTAGAGGAGGCTGGAATCAGAACCACACCATGGAACCAAATATGAGATTCTCTGTGGGAGATGTGGGGCCATCTCTGTGAGGGCAGTGGAATAGTCACCTGCAGCAGGGGCAAGTCAGCCAAAAGACTCGCATCAACCTCTTCAACAGAGTAGACAAGTTCAACCAGGTGAATGTCAGCCCTGCTCAGCTTGTTGCCAACAAGGTAGAATTTGAGAAGACAGACTGTGAATGCAGGCACAGTCAGACTGGGACCCCAGCTTCCCCCTGGGCCTCTCAGCCCAACTCTGCTCTGCTGCTGCTTCCGTGATGGGTGCGGAGCTCCAGACCTTTTTCAGAGCCCTGCCTCCTGAGGGAGGTTGAGAAGTAGGCCTTGCTCACTCCTGTGTTAGAGCCCAGCACCCCTTTCATTGTCTTGCACATACTGACCATCCTTCTCCACATTTTCTACATGTGCCAAGGGCTCAGCTCCGGCTGCCCCACATTTCCATCTGCCCACAAGCTGGGAGGAGCAGCCCTGAATCCTTAGAGCTCCTCTCGGCTCTCTGTGTGCCATCTTCTGTGGGCAGCACTCCACGTTCACAACAGCACCCTTCATGCATGTGCCGACCACTTTAGTGCCATTTATGCGAAGGGTTCTCATCTCTATTCTCACTTCCTTTCATCTCTCTGGGATCTGAGATAAACCGGGGTTAACTTGGATTCATCAATTCCTTTGCAAGATGGGCTCCGACTCCTTCCTTAGACTGGTATAATCTTCATGGAAATTCCCTAGCAATGGATAATGCTGATATGTGCAACTTTGTAATGCATGGAAAGTTCTATCTTTGACTGATAGAGGAGTAAGAGACTTGGACACATGATAGAGGTAACATATCTGGGTGATGACTATGCATTCATTCAGTATCTATTTCAGCTCTTTGGATGTATGAAATTTATATAGTAAGCTCAAAGTATGTGATTATTTCTTTAAGTATTCCAGCAGTATGGAAATCCCAGCAAGTACAGAGGAAAAAGACCTATGACATTACCTTCGAAAGACAAACTACTCTTAAAATTTTCATTTAACATTCTATCAGATAATGAGTTGGTACAAAGCCAGTGTACAACATCAAATGCCTTACTGTACATACATTGTTCAGTTTTTGCTTGGAGCTCTTTAATTTCATAGCATATATGACTTAAACTGTCTTGGCTGGAGAACCAGTCACCATATTATGTGCCCTAAACTGATATCACCACAAGGTTTATGGGGGTGTATTTGATGATTTGATTGCTCTTAAAATCATCATTCTTTTCTTGGTAAAATCAATAATGAATTAACTTTTATTAAAGAAATTAAAGAATAATGTAATGTTTTATAAAATCAGTAGTGCTGATAGAGTAATTCTTTTATTTGTATCATTCTGTGTCCCTTATAATCATTTTTTGGTTTCTTATTTTTATGTAGCTTCAGTTCATGTGGTTTTGATCATAAATATTCATGATTTACCTTTAGAAAGGAAACTTAATTAAAATAGGTACTAAGTGTATAATTATGAACCTTTATTTCCTTAGTTTCTGTGGCTTTCCTCTCAAGTTTGAGAGCCAAATTTACAAATCTTGTAGATTGTTTTTTCTTGTCATTTCTTTACATCTCCTCCTCTCTACTCCTCTAAACTTCTATCCATGTTTAGAGTCCTCATGTTCATCCCTGAAATACTACAATATTCTCTGGTAGGCATCTGCTCCCATGTCTCCCCACACATGAGGTCAGAATATTTTGTGATGTGCTGCTCTCAATAGTTTGCTCTGGAGTGGAGGCCAAAAGGGTGCCACAGGACCTGTATAAACTCAAGTATGGCTCAGAGTCTTCCATGCCCAAAATTCTCATGTGAACATGAAATTCTGCCTAATACTAAATTCTACACTGAGGTACAATAAATTGAACTTTGGCTCAAAAACTATGCCTTTGGTATGACTATACAATGCTTCCTCCAAGTCCAATTTTATAAAACACCCTGAGACTGAGGGTAGGGTACTGATGTTCCAGAAGTTTCACTAGATGTGAAGGTCAAGGCTCTAGGATTGTGCATCCACTTTCTCCGAACCTCTGAACTCAGTGCCCCCAAAACTCTGAGCAGCCTCAGTTTTTCAAAAAACAAGGGAGTCATAATTCTGTGTTCTGTCTTTGATCAAGGCCATCTGGGAATCTTTTTGATCTGGAGTTACTGGTACATGCATAAACAGTTCATATAAATCTACAATGCTTTCTGTGTATGTATGTATACATATACATATATTTCAATCCTGAAAGACAAACATATCCAAGAAAGTGTGTTGTACCTTAGATATTATGGTTTAAAACCAAGGTAAATACGAACATTAGGTAGTTACAAAGAAATTTATGGGGCGTGCTTTTTATACATTCATTCCATTATAAGTTTTACTTAAATATTAACATTTATTTTTTACAACAATCTATTGGGATAAATATATATCCAAAACTTTTGCTATTCTTATGAATACAGATACAAAGTGCACCTGTGCCCACCTCAGATTCACAGTCAAGAGAGACTTTGGTGGGACCATTGCATGTAACCATCAAACCACAGAGTTTGCAGCCTCTTACGTGGTTAGTTTGTGCACAATCTTGTTTGCTTCCTCTGAGCCTCAACTAAAGCTCATGACAGAGTCCCTGGCACAGCCTCTCAGGCTCATCTACTTCTTCTACATCCCATTATGCTATACAGACTTATTGTGTCGGAAGTTCTTCCAATTATTTCCCAGGAAACAAATTTCCACAATCTTTTCCACAGGCCATTTTCCAACTCTACTATTTTGCTCTTAAAATCTATTCTAGCCTTATTTCCATCTCTACTATTTTGCTTAAAATAGCCCTTCCTTAGTACATTTTAAAATTCAATTACAGCTAGAGCACACCATAAGAGATCTTTATTTCTGTTGTTTCATACTGGATAGTCTATAGTTATTTTGAAATTTATTTGACAGATTTATGCCACATATTCAGTGACCTACATTTTCTGTCCTTAGAAATACAATATTCTTGGTTTTTAGTACTATACATTTGTAGAAAACAGCAAACATTAGCATTCACTATTCAGGATATTTTGATTTTATTACAGCATTCTCAAAAGATCTTATATGATTTGGAATTCACTTGCTATCTATCCTTAATTCCAACCACTCTATGAATTTTACTGTTGTGAACATTTTATGGAAAATTATAAAATACATGGCCTTACATGTCTCACTTTCTATTATATATTATGTGTTCAATGTTCCCTGTTGTATCATGTATCAACACTGTTTTCATAACCAAAAACTACATATGCTGTTATTACATTTTGTTCCCCTATTCACCCACTCTTGGATCATGTTTCTAATTTGAACATTTTGAGTAACAGTGCAAAGTATATTTTTAACAAGTAAAGAGTTATTTACATGAAGTTTTCAGCTTTGAAATTGTCCTAGTTAGGGCCTGGGATTTAGCTCAGTGGTTCTTCTGCCCGCCTTGCAGCGCAAGGTCCTGAGTTCGATTCCTGGTGCCAAAAGAGAAAAACTTGGAAAAAATAAAAAACTTTCTCATGAAATTGTCCTATTTGCTTTTGTTGCTTTTTTCTCTTTTTTTAACCATGATATAAACACCAAGTTTTATTTACCTTTAAATTATTAATAGAAAAAGTATGTTATCCATAAGAAACTGAAGTGAAACTGTAGGAATGATGAACTTCAGATAAATGTTTCTTCAAAAGAAGAGGAATTAGTTCCTAAAAGATTCAAGTTTGGCTTTGTTGTTTCAGAAAGCACTGCTTCTTAGATTTCATCAGTTTTTCCAGATCAGGCCATATTTTCTGAGCCAGGGTATCACTATATCACCCAGCCCTAGCCTAGAACTCCTGGGCTCAGGCAATCTTTCTGCCTCAGCCTCTCCAGTGCCTAGGACTACAGCAGTCCACCACTACAGCAGGCCTTGCTTATGCTTTTGATGTCATATTTGATCCTCATTCTTGATCCCTTTGTTGGCTTTAACAAACCCACAAAGTTTCTGAAATAAATTAAATCAATAGATAAAAAATGCCACACAAATAAAAAGGAATAAAAATCATTTTACTTATCTAAAAGGAAATAGTCAATAGAGTGAAATGGGAGAAAATATTTCCAAATCACATATCTGATAAGGAGTTAATATATAAAGAACTCCTGGGCCGGGGAGTTAGCTCAGTGGTGCTGCAACCTGCCTCACAAGGGCAAGTTCCGGAGTTTGATTCCCCAGTACCAAAAAAAAAAAAGAAGAGGAACTCCTACAGTTCAATGGTAACAGCAGAAAAACCCTACAAATAGCTAAAGTGAAAAATAGGCAATGAGGTAGGGGAAGTGGGAGGGGTAGGGAAAAGGAAAAATATGAGAAAAGGAAAAAATGGAAACAAAGTCTCTGTAAATAGTGAAGGATACAGGCATTGAAGTGAGGGCAGGGGAGTAGGGAAAAAATAAGAACTAAGATACCTCACATAGAGATACAAGTTCCCAATGATGATTGTAACTGTATTATATGCCTGAAATGTATGAATAAACTTAATGAAAAAATAGGCAATGAACTTCAATGTTCATTCTCTAAAGAAGATACCCAAATGCCAACAAGCATGGGAAAAGATGCTTGATATCACTATCACAGTAGGAATTCAAATGGAATTTAGATGATCCCTGCTATTACTTATATCTAGATGTCCCTCCAATGCATCATGCAGTCATCGGTAATATGAGAAAGAAAAATGAGAATAGGTGTGCAAATATCTCTTTGAGATTCTGCTTTGAATTCTTTTGGATACTTACCCAGACTACTGAATGAGCTGGTAATATAAGTTTAATTCTTTGAGGAACTTCCATGCCCTTGTCAATATGGATGTACAGCAACAATGCAAAAGTGTTCCAGTTTCCTTACACCTTCTCCAGTACTTTTTGTTTTTCATTCCTTACTCACTTTTTGAGATTTAGCCAGGCTATTTTACTCCTGTAGAAAATATTTCAGGTGGCCCTCATATCATAGGCATTGGCTGTCGTTAACACTCATCAAGTTGACCTGTCCATAGGTCTAGCTGGTAAATTAAGTTCCAAGTCATCATTATTATAATTTTTGAAACTTGAGAATCAACTCTTTTGGGTTCTCCCACCCCAAGATGCCTCTTCCTTGTCCTCAAACACTGTGACACTTGTCCCAAGTGTTAGATTAAATCAAATTTGTAAAGAACCGAACACGTGGGACCGTGATTCCATCATCCTCATGATTTCATGTTTTACCAGTGTTTGAAAACTCTAACACTGTGCTGTACCTGAGGACATCATGTTCTGATATAATCACAGTCATCTGAATCTATACCAATACTTTATTATATTTTATTATTTCATCATCTCCTAGGACTCTGCCATCATTAACTCACTGTATATGTTCAGACCTACCCTGTTGCTGGTCACAGTCCTCCTGCCATGGTCCTGTTCTCTCAAAGGGGAACCTAAATCCTCCCTGTATCATCTTCTCATGTAACAACAGAAAATCCATGCAGGAATCTCTCCTTTATATCTTTCCCACAGTGGTTGTATTTGGTGGCAATGCATTTGAGAATGGCTCTGGTTTGCCCCAGCTTCATTCCATACATCTCCATCACTGGTACTTGCTGGAACATCAAAATCCCATCCCAAAGTGAAAGAAAATGGAGAGTGAAATGTCTATGGGCACCACTGTTCAAGGATGAAAACATATTTGTGGAAATTACTTCATATAAAAAAGAGGAAAAGATTATTCCTTGGCCAACTTCAAGTAAAACAGCATTTTGTTGTTAGCTTCCCATAATCCTTCATTTTCTAATCTATCTTTCCTTTGCTTTTTATTTCCCAATTTTATATTTAAAACATTTCTTGTGTTTTTATGTGTTTTATTCATCTTTATGAATATTATCAGAAGGTTTAGAGGGGTTCAACAAGGCTGCCAACTGGATGCCATTTTAAATAATAATTGACCAAACTAAGTCTCCCTTCTGAGTCTCATGAGGGTCATGACATTTACACAGATTTTTAAAAAAGGTTTCTACATCATGATATCAACATGTATTTTTCCAAGTCTGCAGCATTTCTGTGATCTCCATTCCTGATAAGCCATAAATGGAAATACTTAAGATAAGTGACCCACATATTTCCCCTCCTGACTTCTAGTTCATGTTCCTCAGTGTGCTTTCCATGAGGGAACACGAGTTAATTATGAACTTTCGAGAGTTCAATCATGGTACAGAAAGCAATAGGCCTTGGGAATTTGTTTATCACTTTTTATTCCTGAGATAGTTGGCAGACCTTTATGAGAAGCTACATCCCTTACATTTTACTCCTTAATGATTCTCCATCATCTCCACTACCACCCTTCCAACATTAGCATTGCATGATATTTGTGACTGCCAATCCTGTTATATAATTTATCAGCTAAGAAACACCTAGCAGATTACTACAGCATGCTCTTGGATATGTCTTGGTGGGTCAAGAAGGTGTGGCCATGGATACTATATATGATCCCTTACCATTCCTTTCTGGTATTGTTCCCCTGCTCTGCTTCCTGGCAATCTTTAACTAAGCATTTTTGCTCCACCATGCCCTTCAGACATGATACTTCTGCCTTGGAGCCTTCCAGCCATGAACAGAATCCCTGAATATGTGTGTAGCATCATAAAACTCTCTTCCTTTAAGTTGTGGTTTGTGGGTAGTGTGTCTCAGTGATGGGAAAGCTGACTAATACAGAAAATTGGTACCAGAGAAGTGGGGTTGTTGCAGTGACTGTACCTTACATAGTGGTTTAAAAGTCTTCAGAATAGTTTTGTGGAAGAAGTTCAGAAAAGTTTGGAGATGTTGACTAAGGAAACCCTAGAATGCTGTAAGCAGAATTTGACAAGTGATTCTATTTGGAGCTCAAAAGTACAGGAAGCTGATAAGAATGTTGACAGTAAAGGCCAGGCTCAAGAAGTTTCAGTTGGGAGCAAAGACTCTATTGGTAGTTAGAGTAGAGGCCATGTGTTACACTCTGGCAAGAAAATGTTTATATTTTTTCCATGGAACATGGAACATCAGCCAAGAAAAGCTAGCTGCAGGCATGAGTGCAGCCAGCCCAATAGAAAGTCATGTAAGATTCAACTGCCAGGAACAAAGGAACAGGGTTTCCCAGGCCTTAACATTTTACCATTGCATTTTTCAGATAGATGTCAGATATGGAGCTACTGAACTTTTTTCCCCCCCTAATGGATTTCCATCTTAATTTAACTCTATTCTTTTCTATGCCCCTTCTTTCTCCTTTCTGCAATGGTAATGTTTACCATGTGCCATTGTACCTTGGGATTACATAACTTGATTTTTATTTTTATAGAGGTATACAGTTAAGACTTTCACTTTAGTCTCAGAAGTGCCTTGAACTTGGACTTTTGAAATTATTGAAACTGCTGAAACTTTGGGGAAAAATTATTATATTTCCAATTGTATGTGAGATAGTCACATGAGTTGGAACTCTGAATTTGCTATTTTCTTTATTTGAAGATTAAGTAGGGAGATGTGTTTGGTTGTAAAGTTGACAAAGGGTAGGTTTTGGCCATTAATTCTGATATGTCAACTTCATTGAATTATGAAATGCCTAAAGATTAGTAAAGCATGCTCCTGGGTTTGTCTGGGTGGGTCGTGGAATTGGGTAATATATATGGCCCCTTGTCCATTCCTCTCTGGTACTGTTCCTCTGTTCTTTTCCTTACTGTCATGAACTAAGCACCTTTGCTCCACTACAGTCTTCTACCATGATGTTTATGCCTTGGAGTCAGCTAACCATGGGCTGAAACCATGAGCCAAATTAAACCTGTCCTCCCTTAAGTCATGAACGTCAGTTTTTTTTGTCTCAGCAACAGGAAAACTAACCAAATCAATGTTAAAAAATTCATACTACAAACACTCATTAGAGACATTTAGATACTTGATATTATAATTTTTTAACTTTTCAGAATCATCTGGACACATTACAAACTTCTCTTCAAATTGGAAGAAAAAATGTAAAAAAAAAGTGCTTCCTAATTTATTCCTTAGAGTTATAGTCTTTTAAACTTGAATGGTCATTGAAATGATGTAGAGTGTATAAAAAGATTAAAATTTCTCAGTTGGACAGTATACACTGAGGTGTCTGCCCATGGCCACCTAGAAATTTACAGAAGAAGAAGGGGGGTAAAATAAAATGGCACAGATCATCATATACAGCTGCTCATTTCTATAATTCATATCCTGGCCCCAACAACATCCATGGATTTTGGAAGGATGTCACTGGATGGCAGAGACAGGGAACTCCCAGTTATAAGCCTTTAGTATCTCAGCTGTGATGTTTAATGAAATGAGAATAGAACCATTGTGTACCTGTCATGGTGTATGTTATGGGCCTATGACTAAGATTTTGCCATCACTGAACCTCTAATGTAATTTCTATCACTCCTTTTTTTTCATAGTTTAAGAATTTGCAATCATAAAAAGGTTGGAAAATAGCTTTCTAGCTTGCATGGTGGTACATGGTTTGTTGTTGATTTTCCTAGTCTAATAGGGTTAGGCTGTACAGATGGTGACAAATAAACACCACCAATTCACATAGCATCCACAAAACTATTAAGGATCGGGACTGTTAACTGAGGAAGATGACCAAAGTAGGATGGGTTAGGGATGGTGCAGCTGATGGGCACTGATGAGGCCATAATTACCAGTCTTTGGGAACACAGAACCCAGAAGGTCTGAGCAAGGGTTTTCAGGGAGCTCTTGCCCACTACCCTCTTTAGAGTTGGTTGGATAAAAGTCGAAGCCTTCTATACTGAGGACATTGCCCCTACTTCTCCCTTCTATGCTGAACTCATCCTGCTTGGAGGTTTAGAATGTATTTCAGAAACAGCAAACTGGCAAATGGTGGAAGCATATTATTTCTTTATAGAAAGAATAAACCCTAGAATGGAATTACTGCAATATTTAGATATTGTGTGTACTTCCTTCTTTATAAAATTTTAAAAGGTCAGATTAAAAAGGGCCACACATTTATGAAGGAATAAGAAATAGTGTTCCCCAGGCTTAAGTAAACACATTGCTATGGATGCTAAGGGAGCACCCCAGAAGTTCCCTTCACAGGATAGGACCACACCCTCTGACATCCCTTTTATGTTGGCACTTCTGGGACACCATCTACAGCGTGTCCATGATCTCCTCCCCCTACAACCCTTTTGCTGTCACAAGAATTTCTGGTCTGTATTGGGAAAGTCTTTTTACCAGTGATGCTTCTAGAGGGCGGTAGTCATGAAGTCGTACAAGTACTTCCCCTTAGAAGGTACAAAAATTGTTCTTAAAGGCAATGCTTTGATATGATCACATTTGTTGATCCTTGGTACTATTTCTTGTGCCATTGGGGTTCTATCCAAAAAGTTCCTGCCCATGCCTGTGTCTTCAGGAGTTTCACCTATTTTATCATCCAGCAGACTTTCAGTTTTAGCATTTAGATCTTTGATCCACTTTTTATAATTTTTTTACTTTTACAAGTACATGTTTGCAGTACATAATGATAACATTCATTGTGGCGAATTGGTACATGTACATAACACATCTAGGTATAATATTAGTAGACAGAACTTCTGTAAATAGTCTGAAACCTACAAAATGTTTTAAAAAATATAAAACCGCTGTCCTTGCTTCTGTAATTTGCTTTGCTTTTCTTGTTTAACAAAACACCCAAGGTTTCACCAGTGAAGCTTACATAGCCCCAGTTTAAAATTAACAAATGCCGGAGGTGCTTAGCTGCATCCCAGGATGAGACCAAATGTTCAAAATGTAACAGTCCCTGAGCTGTAAATCTCTCTGTAAACCATATGGCTATAAAGGTGATAAGATGAAAGGAATGTCACCAGTCCTGCTTTCCTAACTCTGGTCCCCACTCTTGTGGGCTGGAAAAGCTAAAGATAAACATCCTGCAAGAAATTGCAGGCCTGGGGATTTAGCTCAGTTGTTCTGCCATCTGCCTTGCAAGACCAAGCACCCGAGTTCTATCCCTGGCACCAAAAAAAAAAAAAAAATTGCTACATTTGGGTTAACACTGAACTGTCTTGTGACCATGTTTTGTGATGGGAACTGTGGGAACTGGAATGTCTTATCACCTAAAATAAAGTCATGATTGCAAAACTCATATAAAAGGCAGATTTAACCCAGCCCAGGGTTGGTCATTTGGTGCAGCTCTTGGTACAGACCAATCCTTTCCCAGCAAGGTAAACATTTTTTTATTTTACCCACTTCTTGCATTTCTACGTGTCATTTACCAGTTCCTTCTGCAACAATATCTCATCAGAAACACTTTGGTGTGTGTCTCTAAAATATCAGGCCTGGGGCTGGGGATTTAGCTCAGTGGTGCCACTGCCTGCCTTGCAAGTGCAAGGTCCTGAGTTGGATCCCCAGTACCCCCCACAAAAGGACTGCTTTTAAAATAACAACTATATCACACTTAAAAGCACACTAAAAATTAACTATAAATAATCTGTAATGTCAGCTAATACTCAACCAATATTCAAGTTTCTAATTGCTGTACAAAGATCCTAAATTATATAGTTTATTTAAATCTAGATAAGGTCTACATATTATAATTATTTGATATTTATCTTGATTCTTTAAAAAATGTATTTGTGGGGCCAGGTATTTAACTCATGCCTGTCTTGCAAGTACTAGGTCCTGAGTTCAATCTTCAGCACCACAAAAAAATAAAAATAAAATAACATAAAAAATTAAAAAAAATAATAGCAAATAAAAATGTATTTTATGTACTTTTCCCTGGAATTATAATTGTCATTTTATTTGCCCAATTGATCAATTTTTTCTTAATAAGTAGGCATATATTTATTTATTGCTAAATTTTTCACAGGATTCTGGAAGTCTTTTGGTTTAGAAAAATGTTTTGGTATAGTCAATTTCAGGTCTAACATAGGAACTGACAACCTATCTACTCCAGCTGCAGCCAAGAGCCACTGGATAGACTCCATCCTGCACCAACATTGACGTAGTGAAGCACTGGCTTCCCCACCATATTAGTAGTTTCTTGCTTTCACTAAATATAAACAAACGCTAAATTGCTACATTTGGGTTAACACTGAACTGTCTTGTGACCATGTTTTGTGATGGGAACTGTGGGAACTGGAATGTCTTATCACCTAAAATAAAGTCATGATTGCAAAACTCATATAAAAGGCAGATTTAACCCAGCCCAGGGTTGGTCATTTGGTGCAGCTCTTGGTACAGACCAATCCTTTCCCAGCAAGGTAAACATTTTTTTATTTTACCCACTTCTTGCATTTCTACGTGTCATTTACCAGTTCCTTCTGCAACAATATCTCATCAGAAACACTTTGGTGTGTGTCTCTAAAATATCAGGCCTGGGGCTGGGGATTTAGCTCAGTGGTGCCACTGCCTGCCTTGCAAGTGCAAGGTCCTGAGTTGGATCCCCAGTACCCCCCACAAAAGGACTGCTTTTAAAATAACAACTATATCACACTTAAAAGCACACTAAAAATTAACTATAAATAATCTGTAATGTCAGCTAATACTCAACCAATATTCAAGTTTCTAATTGCTGTACAAAGATCCTAAATTATATAGTTTATTTAAATCTAGATAAGGTCTACATATTATAATTATTTGATATTTATCTTGATTCTTTAAAAAATGTATTTGTGGGGCCAGGTATTTAACTCATGCCTGTCTTGCAAGTACTAGGTCCTGAGTTCAATCTTCAGCACCACAAAAAAATAAAAATAAAATAACATAAAAAATTTAAAAAAATAATAGCAAATAAAAATGTATTTTATGTGCTTTTCCCTGGAATTATAATTGTCATTTTATTTGCCCAATTGATCAATTTTTTCTTAATAAGTAGGCATATATTTATTTATTGCTAAATTTTTCACAGGATTCTGGAAGTCTTTTGGTTTAGAAAAATGTTTTGGTATAGTCAATTTCAGGTCTAACATAGGAACTGACAACCTATCTACTCCAGCTGCAGCCAAGAGCCACTGGATAGACTCCATCCTGCACCAACATTGACGTAGTGAAGCACTGGCTTCCCCACCATATTAGTAGTTTCTTGCTTTCACTAAATATAAACAAACGCATGAACCAATGGATGTGTGCATAGGACCAAAATATACTTTAGTACATTTTCTATACCACTGTTTTCCAAACTGGGGATCATGGCTTATGAGTGGATTATAAAATCAGCACCATTGGTTCTGGGTAACATCTTTAAGTTCCAGTGTCCTAGAAATTCTCAGAATGTGTTATACATGGTAAAGATAAGTACTGTTTTGTGGAACTTTAATTTTAATTCCACTGATGTTGTGATTATGCCTATCTGTCTGCATGTGCTCTTCTGGGTTGTTGTAAAATGTAAGAAATGTACCCAACTTGGGCTGGCCAAAGAAGTGTGACAGATCTGTGTTGCTCTGTTCTGACACTTTCTGCACTGTGGACATTTTGGGCTGGGCAAGGCTTTGTCATGGTGGCTGATCTGTGCACTGGGGTGTGTTCACTAAGCTGCACCCAGTGGCACGTTCCAAGCTGCTTAGAAGAAGGGCACATAGAAGAGAGCCAGGAAAAGCAACTGAAGGGTGACCAGGCAGGCTCTGCAGTGGGCTGGGCAAGTCGGATCAGGTTTACAGACCAAAGCACGGGGTTCAGTAAAAAGCAAGGATTCAGTTACCTAATTACTTCCTTTTTATCTCTTTTTCTGCTTATTTTAAAAAAATTTTTCGTACATGCTTGCCACACATAATGTTACACTCATCATGAGGAGTTGGTACATATGCACAATGCATCTTAGTTCTTTCAAGGATTCAATTACCTAACTAATGACTGGGATTGGTAGGGAACAACATATCAGCCGGACTCCGTCCCTGCCCTAAAGAGGTGTAAACCTAGTCAAGAGCAAAGCTCATGGACATCTAAAAGAGCAAACTGTCCTGTCCTACAATTGCTACACTTTATCAGTTCCTGAGAATTCAACCCAAATAATATCATTGTCTTAAGCAAGTCAGTCAGGGAAGAAGGCTGCTGGGTTGAGAATAAAGGACCTACTCTTTCTGCCCCGTCAGGCTCCTACCTACCAGGTTGCCATCATCCATCCTCAACAGCTTTTTTTCATCCAACAGAAGTCTCCACTAGAGTTGCTCCTTGTGGGTATCTGAAAAAGCTGTTTATAGCATATCATTTCAGTATCGTCCAAGGGCACTGTGTTTTTTTTCTACAGGGTCCTACATTCTTCAGTTTTCCTGTACAAAATTTTTCTTGCATTCTTTTAATGTTGGCAATGATTCCAGGGCACTGCTGACTCTCATTATGTTACATCCCACTTGGCAATTTTGTGTGCCTTGTGAGGAGTTGGTATATACTCCACTGATATACTTCATTCTCCCTTCAAAATTCTCCATAGTATAGAGCTGGAGGGAATTCTTTTCATCCAATGTAGAAATCCTTGTGGAATGGTTGAAACCCTAGACAGACTGAGTAATTTCCAACTAGCCTGCAAGTGACAAAGTCTAGGTTCTTGCCCAGTTCTTCTGACATTAAGGCTAGTTACTTCCTACTATGTCTTATTACTGACTTTTCATAGCCTTAAAAGTTACACTTTTCTTGTCCCCTCCCTACACACACTCCATTGTGAGCTCCCACGAAGCAGTAAAGTTGTCCTAATGTTATTGTGGCACATTATGCAGTTGTTTGGGGGGTTGTTTTCTGGGAAGTTGTTTGTTTGTTTGAGACAGGATCTCACTATATAGTTCAGGCTGACCTCCAACTCACTGTGTGGCACAGGCTGGCCTTGAACTCACAATGATCCTCCCATCTCAGCCTCCCAAACTGAGATTACAGGTATGTGCCAACATACCCAGTCTATGCAATATAAAATCCAAAGTTTGTAATATGACATGGCTTGGCAGCTCAAGAGTCACACTTTTTTTTTTAGAATTTCCCTTATAAGGATCACCATTTAAGGATCTAGTTAGTATAGACCAATCAAATAATAAGCTAGTATCATGGTGATGATTTAAGGAATTGTGATGAAATATGCTATTTCTGATAATCCTGATAGGTCTTCTGGTAACAGAATTATCAAAACAGTGAAAGTCTCCTACATAAGAGAAACAAATTGGATTTAAAACATTGGTTAAGTGCTTTGGCAAGGTACCTGAGAAAAATACTTAATTGGCAAATCAAAGGAATTTGCAAATGCTCTGTCAGACTGGGGGAACACAGTAGATCATGAGAAGGGCACTGTTGTTCTTAAGTTTGTCTAAGAAGTAAATCTAGCTCCAATTGCCTCACTATTCTAAAAGTCCTATATATTCAGACTCACTTGCAACTTTGAGACTAAGCCATGTCCAACTTTAAATTTCACTACCACTGAAGAATGGGAGGGGAAACAAAAGAGGAGGAGAAAGAAAAAGGAGCAGGAGGAGATGGAGGAACAGAGGAGAAGATGAAGAGAAGAAACAAAGAGGAGGAAGAGGAGACAGTCTGGTACTTTATGGGCAATGATAAAATGCCTTACAGGGAGGGCCAGGGATTAAGCTCATTGGTGCTGCTGCCTGCCTCACAAAGTCCCAAGTTCAATCCCTGGTACAAAAGCAAACAAATCTTACAGGAATATTAGCAACTGGGCAATCAGTTACAGAAGTATAAATTTACATTTTGATTGGCAAGCACAGAAAATTGATTTCCAAGCTGAACATTCGACTTCCAGAAGCACAAGAGGTATGTACTCCCCCATATGCGTGGCCTTTTCATTGCTAAAGCAGTTCCCCAAATATGTGATCCTCCCAAATATAAATCCGGTATTACTGAGCGCAGACTCCTGCAGTAATCACTGTAATATCACCTGTTTAACAGACAACACAATTTTATCATAAGCTCTTATACACCCCCCCCGGCACTCCCATGGTTTTATTTTTAGGTTGTTAAAAATGATACCACTCTTATTTTTATCATATCATCAATTGCCCTGCTTTCATTTTATAAATTCTTTGCTATGGTTTTTCATAAAGTATCAACAATATTTGAATTGTTCCCTGAGCACATAAAGAAGGCAGAAGAACATAAAGTACTCGCACAAAGTATCACATTTAAAATGTTTTTGTGCCAGGTGTAGTGGTTCATGCCTGTAATTCCAGCACTCAGGAAGCTGAGGCTGGAGGATCGTTCCAAGTTTGAGGCCAGCCTGGGCTACATAGTGAGTCCAAGACCAGCCTGAACTACAGAGCAAGACCCTGTCTCAAAAAGCTAAAACAAAA